GTATACACTTTCTTTGTTAGGCACTGTTTTAAGTACTTTATAAAGTATCATATTATTTAATCTTCATAGTAATCTTATGAGATGGGTACTATTATTGTTCTAAATTTACAGACAATAAGAGTGAGGCAAATCGAGTTAAGTAATTTGTCCACATTTACTTAAGTGGAAAGTGGTATCAAACCCACTAAGTTGTACTGGCTTCTTGGTCAGAGCTTGAAAAAAAATGCAGAGGGAAAACTCTTTAGTTATTTATTAGTGGTTTTTGTTTTGTTTATTTGTTTGCATTTTATTTAATAGAATGACAGACACTTGGAATTGGAAAGGGCCTTTGAGGTAATACAATCAATCTCCTTGTCTCCAGACTTCCGTTCAGTTACAGAATTGCTTTATATAGTCCCCTGACAGATGATCATTTAAATCAGGGGTCCCCAACCCCCAGGCTGTGGACTGGTACCAGTCCGCGACCTGTTAGGAACCAGGCTGCACAGCAGGAGGTGAGCAGCGGGCAAGCAAGCGAGCGAACCTTCATCTGCTGCTCACCATCGCTCGCATTACCGCCTGAACTATCCCCCTGCCACCTTCCTTTCGTGGAAAAATTGTCTTCCATGAAACTGGTCCCTGGTGCCAAAAAGGTTGGGGACAGCTGATTTAAATTATTTTTGAATACTTCCATTGCTGGGAAGCTCATCACTTCTTGAGGAATCCCATTATAGTTGTTTTCCTTTTTCTTTTCCATTATGGTTTATTACAGGATACTGAGTATAGTTCCGTGTGCTATACAGTAGGACCGTGTTGTTTATCTGTTTGTTTGTTTGTTTTTAAATTTGGCTGCGTCAGGTTTAAGTTGTGGCAGGAGCTTTCGTTGCGGTGAGTGGGCTTTTCATTGTGGCATGCGAGCTTCTCTCTAGTTGTGGCGCACGGGCTCCAGAGTGCGCGGGCTCAATAGTTGCACCACACGGGCTTAGTTAACCCGCGGCCTCTGGAATATTATTAGTTCCCCAACCAGGGATCGAACCCGTGTCCCCTGCATTGGAAGGTAGATTCTCAACCACTGGACCACCAGGGAAGTACCCTGTGTATCTGTTTTTTTATTTTTTTTCTTTTTTCCTTTTTGGCGGTATGCGGGCCTCTCACTGCTGTGGCCTCTCCCGTTGCGGAGCACAGGCTCCGGACACGCAGGCTCAGCGGCCATGGCTCACGGGCCCAGCCGCTCCGCGGCATGTGGGATCCTCCCAGACCGGGGCACGAACCTGTGTCCCCTGCATCGCAGGCGGACTCTCAACCACTGCGCCACCAGGGAAGCCCCTCTGTTTTATATATAGTAGTTGTATCTGCTAATCCCAAACTCCTTATTTATCCCCCTCCACCACCTTTCCCTTTTGGTAACCATGAATTTGTTTTCTATATCTGTGAGTCTTTTTCTGTTTTGTAAATAAGTTCATTGGTATCATATTTTAGATTCCATGTGTAAGTGATATCATGTGGTATTTGTCTTTCTCTTTTTGACTTCACTTAGTATGATAATCTCTAGGTCCATCCATGTTGCCAAAAATGGCATTATTTCTTTTCTTTTTTTTTTTTTACAGCTGAGTAATATTCCATTGTGTGTATATGTACCACATCTTCTTTATCTATTCATCTGTGGATGGACATTTAGGTTGCTCCCATGTCTTCGCTACTGTAAATAATGCTGCTATGAACTTTGGGGTGCCTGTATTTTTTTTTCATTGTCCAGAAAAATTTAACAGGTTTATATATAATTGTTATAAAATTGAACTGCTGAAACTTGTTTACTGAAACATTTTGACTTGCATTAATGCTTTATGTCCCCGCATTTATATTAAAAATTCACACACAAATGAAAATGGAAAAATTGCCAATACCTGATTTCTGCCCCCTATTTTTCCACTTGCAATCATATACTTAGGTACCTTTTGACCCCATGGGGAAAAAAAATCTAATGTTCAGAACTACCAATAACAGGAAGAAGAGAAATTCTTTTTTTAAAGAATGAAGTATTTCCCATCAGAGTGAATTCTTAAGGGTGTTTTCCACGTATGCGGCGTGCTAGCTGGATGTCGCTTGGCATAATTGTTACACGTTTGGCATGGATAGCACACAGGTTGGTGTCTTCAAAAAGCCCAGCCAGATAGATCTCACGTTCCTCCTGCAAAGCACCAGTAGCTGCACTCTGGAAGCGCAGATCTGTTTTGAAGTCTTGAGCAATTTTCCGTGCCAGATGCTGGAAGGGAAGTTTGTGAATCAGAAGTTCAGTAGACTTCTGACAACGTCTGATTTCACTGAGTGCCACGGTACCAGGCCTGTAACGCTGAGGTTTCTTCAGCCTTCCAGTAGAGGGCACACTCTTGCAAGCGGCTTTTGTAGCCAGTTTCTTCCTTGGTGCTTTACCACGGGTCGATTTGTAGGCAGCCCGCTTTGTACAAGCCATGTTGTAGAGACCTCCTTACTTACCCCACTTCTCCTTCAGCTGGAGGTTGGCTGCCTGTATCTTTTCAAATTAGAGTTTTCTCCGGATATATACCCAGGAGTGAGATTGCTGAAACATATGGCAACTCTATTTTTAGTTTTTTAAGGAACCTCCCTACTGACTTCCATAGTGGCTGCACCAATTTACATCCCCACCAACAATGTAGGAGGGTTCCCTTTTCTTCATACCCTCTCCAGCATTTGTTATTTGTAGACCTTATTAGTGATGGCCATTCTGGCTGGTGTGAGGTGATACTTCATCGCAGCTTTGGTTTGCGTTTCTCTAAATAATTAGCGACGTTGAGCATCTTTTCATGTGCCTGTTGGCCATCTGTATGTCATCTTTGGAGAAATGTCTGTTTAGGTCTTCTGCCCATTTTTTGATTGGGTTGTTTGTTTTTCTGTTATCTAATTGTATGAGCTGTTTGTGTATTTTGGCAATTAAGCCCTTGTTGATTGTATTGTTTGCAAATATTTTCTCCCATTCTGTAGATTGTCTTTTCATTTTGTTTATGGTTTCTCCCATTATACTGTTGAGTAGCTCTCACTAATAGAAAATTATTTCTTGTTTTGAATTGAAATCTAATTGAGGTATCTTCTCATCAGTTATAGGCCTGTCTCCTGGAACCATACAGGGTAAATGTAATCCATCTTCCACATCCAATCTTGTGAATGTTTGGAGATGTTCTTCCTGTTTATAAGGAGTATTTGCAGTTTTCTCATAGCATCTAAACTTGGCTTTCAGTTCAGATTGGTCTGCACAAAAGCATTCTCTGTCTCTCACTATTTGTAAGTGCAGCCTTGCAACAAATTATGCTTCACTTCTTGTGATTAGTTAGCACAAAGTGTGGACCCTTTCCACATCCTTGGAGAATGGATGGTTAGTGAGCTGAATCTATACAGTTCTATATGAGCCTGGTGGGTTTGCAGTTCCCTACTCAGAATCTCTAAGACATCAGGCTGCTGCCCCGTACACACTGTCAGAGATCACAAAATGGCTGGAAGTTTATCCGGGCACTTGATGAAACTGCATTTACTTCAGCAGGCCACTAGGTGATGTACAACTCGCAAACCCAGACTGCCAGGGAGGGTTGTGTATAGGACAGTTTCTGTTTGTACGTGGAAATGCCATCAGAAGTCACTTGGTACAATTTCATGAAAAGGTTTTCTTAGGGGGAGGGGAAACATGTCTTGCGTATACTTTGTCTTTCTCAGCTTTGTTCCAGTTTTAAATATTAATTTGACTAGGATACTTTGAGTGATTTTCTTAGACAAAGGGGCATGGATGGTCCATTTATTTATTTACTTATTTATTTGTGTGTGTGTGTGTGTGTGTGTGTGTGTATATCTTCATGTATGAATGATATCTTGGCTGGGTTTAGGATTTTTTCTTTTTTTTCCTTTTTGGCTGCGCCACACGGCTTGTGGGATCTTAGTTCCCCAACCAGGGCGGGAAGCTGGGCCCTCGGCAGTAAAAGCACAGAGTCCTAACCACTGCACCGCCAGGGAATTCCCAAGGATTCTTGAATAGTAGTCCTAGTCTCTACAAAGTATGCAGCCTTGTACTGTCCAGTTTCTAGTAATACAGATGAAAAGTCCACTGCCAATAGGTTTCTCTTTCCTCTGTAAGTAATAACCATTTCTCTTTGAAAGTTTGTAAATTTTTTCTTCATGCTTAGTGTTTCATCATGATAGGCTTAGGTTTGATTTAAAAAAAAACAAAACTCTGCTTGTCACTTGATAAACCTTTTAGACTTAAAAACTTAAGTCTTTTCTCAGTTCAGGGAAGTTTTATTGCTTTCCTTCTGTCTGTTTCCAACCTCCTTACTTTATAGATGAGGAAACTGAGCCCAGAAAGATTAAGTGACTTACCTAAGGGTCACTCAGGTAGTTAAAATGAACCTCAAGCAAATAACCTGACTCCTTTAATGAGGTACACTTTCATTGTATTGAATATTGCTCTAGTGAGAGAGCCATTATGAACTAATTAGAAATTTTTTAGGGAGACAGGAATTTTTCCAAGGGGTCATGAAGAAATGAAGAAGGAAGAGGAGATGATATAATTCGTTAGGATTAAAATACGGCCCATATGAAGGACTGCAAAATTCAGAAGTTCACCCCCACCCCCAGTATCCCAGTTATTGGAGATACCCCAAAGCTGTAAAACTTAATAAAGCCAGGAAGTTGATTGAACATTTGGAGAATTAGATATTTAGTTGTCAGAAGTTGGATAAGTGTGGTCATGCCCTGTTGTAAATATTGGAAAATATGTGAATGGCATCCGAAGGCTTGGAGACAGATACCATAAACTGTCTTATCAGTGGTCTGGTTTCTGTTCTGAGTTCCAGCTTGGGACCCTTTTCTGCTGGGAACCACCTGTTCCTGGCTCTGTTGATCTTTGGATTTCCCTAGCCCTTCAGTCCCTTTCAGTTTTGAAATGAAACCTACCCCAGAGGGTGAGGTCAGGTACCGAGAGGACTTTGACAGCTCACACCAGATTGTTTTCTTTCCAGAGCCGCCCAGTATGTGACTGTGTGAGGCATGAGGCGCAGCAGGCTGTGATACAGACTGATGGTGAGTCAGCTGTTGGGTAAGACCTCAGCTAGGCAGTGTCATCTCTTTGGGTAACCAGGAAAACATGTAGACCAAATATGTTGTCTTTCAGGCTCAGAAAGTTGAAAGTTAAGAGCACGGTCCCCAGAGATCTACCATGATCTCTCTGCCTTTGGTTTACTGAAGAAGGAAAGGCTTTATTTCAGTGTCTTTTCTCCTCTTTTATAGAACCTTCTTTTCAGGAAGAAGCCAAGTCCCTGGCCTCTTTCTGCTGCTCCAGAAAGTTTCTAAACTTTTATACTGTGCCTCCTGGAATTGCTGCTTTGATGTGGAGTGATTCCTCTAGAAATCCCTAGACAACCCCCACCATGCCCCCAACCCCTTCACAGAATGCAGCTTCCCCTCTTCCTTTTGTTGTAAATGTGGTTTCCACCATATTATGGCACTTCACTTGGAATCTTTATAAGTGGAATTGGCTGTTTCTTCAACTTGCCCGTACCACTTCGCCCAGTTTTGCCTGACTGCCCCCCAGCCTCATCCCCCAGCACTGCAGAGCTGCTTCCAGATCTTTAAATACTTTTTCCCCTTTGAGACTGCTGCTGGCCTGCAAGGCCACCTGATCCCTGTCCTTGAAGCTGGCATCTGTACTTATTCTCCCATATTTGTTTAGGACTTTGGTATTTGACCCCCCTTCCTGGGGTTCTGGCCCAGTCTAGGGGATCTGTGGCCAAACTTGGCCTGGGGCCAAGGATTCAGGATGGAGCATGGAATTAGGGGGCTTGGTGTTAACTTCTCAGACACGGGCAGATGGCAAGCCAGAAGATCTAAACATCAAGCCAGTCGGGGATGGAAGGAACAGAGAAAATTTACTATCTGAAGTAAAGGATGTCCTTTGTAGCCTCCCTCTTTTCCCACTTTTCAAAATTGAGTTATTTTTTAGAACAGTTTTAGGTTCACAGCAAAACTGAGTAGAAGGTACAGAAATTCCCATTATTTTTTGAAAAATTGATCTTAATTTTACAGAGAATATAGTAATCTAAAAAAATCAAAACACTGTAGATTTTTTTTTTAAGTTCTTGAATGTATTTTACTTCAGATTGAAAAATGAACAGCTTCCACACTGTTCATTGCAAGATACACAGCATCTTGTACAATGCTGGTCATTTGAGGAAATGTACGCACCTCAATTTCTCCTTCATGCTTCTCTTTTACAAAGTACTGTTTACCAAAAAGAAACTTCAGCAGTACAGGAAAAACTATTTTCCCAATGTATGAGAAAACCTAAGATTCCCAATGGAATCAAGATTATCTTCCTGCTACCACTACCTTAATATAATCACATGTTTTTTGGAACACTAATATCTGCACCCTAAGAGTCCATATACTTTCAGCAGTGAGGGTGATTCTTTTTTTTTAAAATAAACTTATTTATTTATTTATTTTTGGCTGCATTGGGTCTTCGTTGCTGCGTGCGGGCTTTCTCTAGTTGTGGCAAGCGGGGGCTACTCTTCGTTGCAGGTGCGGGCTTCTCATTGCGGTGGCTTCTCTTGTTGTGCAGCACAGGCTCTAGGCACACGGGCTTCAGTAATTGTGGCGCAGGGGCTCAGTAGTTGTGGCTCATAGGCTCTAGAGTCAGTAGCTGTGGCTCACGGGCTTAGTTGCTCCACGGCATGTGGGATCTTCCCAGACCAGGGCTCGACCCGTGTCCCCTGCATTGGCAGGTGGAGCCTTTTTTTTTTTTTTTTTTTTTCAGTACGCGGGCCTCTCACTGTTGTGGCCTCTCCCGTTGCGGAGCACAGGCTCTGGACGCGCAGGCTCAGCGGCCATGGCTCACGGGCCCAGCCGCTCCATGGCATGTGGGATCTTCCCGGACTGGGGCACGAACCCATGTCCCCTGCATCTGCAGGCGGACTCTCAACCACTGCGCCACCAGGGAAGCCCAGCAGGTGGAGTCTTAACCACTGTGCCACCAGGGAAGTCCTGAAGTTTTTTTTTTAAAGACTCACCCTTGGGACTTCCCTGGTGGCGCAGTGGTTAAGAATCCGCCTGCCAATACAGGGGACACAGGTTTGATCCCTGGTCCAGGAAGATCCCACATGCTGTGGAATAACTAAGCCCGTGTACCACAGCTGCGGAACCTTTGTTCTAGAGCCCGCGAGTCACAACTACTGAGCCCGTGCGCCACAACTACTGAAGCCTGTGCACCTAGAGCCCGTGCTCCGCAGCAAGAGAAGCCACCGCAATGAGAAGCCCACGCACCACAACGAAGAGTAGCCCCCACTTGCCACAACTAGAGAAAGCCCGTGCGCAGCAACCAAGACCCAACACAGCCAAATAAATTTTAAAAAAAAGCAAACAACCAAAACCTTCAGTGTAGTAAGTGTAACATGGGTCTCTGCAAGTATTAAGTGTCTGAAATAGGCAGCTAATACTGGATTTAATATTATTTTATAAATAATTGTTCCCGTAGCAATAAACATAAGTCTACACATTCACAATAGTCCCAGAAAATAAATACTGTGATTATGCACAGTATGTATGACAAACTAGTTTCAAACAAACCAGTTTTAGCATCTTGATAAAAATTCAGATCAGAATAAAATGTGACTCTAAAATTTAAAACATTGTCAAAATAACATCACATTTAATCTTCCATGGTTTACACAAGTATTATGAATTTCCAGTTTTGGAACACATTTTTCTGTTGTGAATTAAAATACGAACATACTGAAAACTGTTAATTTCAGAACATTGTAGATACTTTGAATACTCCTGCTCCCCGCTCCTCTGTTTCAATTATTTCTGTATTTCCAGAGGCAACCTGTTAGTGGTTTAGAGTGTACCTCCCACACTCTGTGTGTGTTTGCATACATACGTATGAACCCAGAAATTTTTTTTTTAAATTTTGGCCACACCATACGGCATGTGGAACTTCCCCGACCAGGGGTTGAACCTGTGCCCCCTGCAGTGAAAGCGTGGAGTCTTACCACTGGACCACCAGGGAAGTCCCAGAAAATATTTAAAATGCTATTGCCGTGTTTTATTTATTTACACAAATGGGGTCACATTTTATGTATCATTTTTATATTTCTTTCTTTGATTCAGTAATGTGCCTTGATAGTATTCCATGTTGGTACATAAAGATACTTCTCATTCTTTTTGGCTACTGTATAATATTTCATAGACTAGATATACTGTATTTTATCTGTTTTCCTATTGAGGGGCATTAAGGTATTTCCAGTTTTTTGTTGTTGTTAATGATTCTTTTTGTGTTAAAAATTTTTTTTAAATTTTCCTTATGTATTTAAAACATTTATTTGTTTATTCAACTTCTTGTGTTTTAAATGTCAGCAGTCTGTTCCTAGGCTTTTTTCCTTTCTTTCTTCCTGCTCCCCGTAGGTGACCTCAGCTTCTGTGACAGCTTCAGTTACCATCTATACGTGGATGATGACCAAATCTCTCTCCAGACCAGAATATCCAACTGTTCACGTGGACAGCTCCACTGGGATGTTTTGAAGACTCAGCAAAATGCAGCCTTCTGCTCTTCCCCTCTTGCTCTTCCTCCAGTGTCCTGTCATGTGGTAAATAGCACCACCACCCATGCAGTTGCTGGGCCCAAGGCCTAGTAGTCATTCTAAGTCCTACCCCTTCCCTTCCCACAGCCGACAACCAGCCTATCATAGGATTTGTCCTCCCCAATATTTCTTGGATCCAGTTGCTTTTTTCTTCTTCTTCTTCTTTTTATAAATTTATTTATTTATTTTTGGCTGTGTTGGGTCTTCCTCTAGTTGTGGCAACTGGGGGCTACTCTTTCTTGCAGTGTGCGGGCTTCAGTAGTTGTGGCACGTGGGCTCAGTAGTTATGGCTCTCGGGTTCTAGAGCACAGGCTCAGTAGTTGTGGTGCATGGGCTTAGTTGCTCCGCAGCATGTGGGATCTTCCCGGACTAGGGCTCGAACCATGTCCCCTGCATTGGCAGGCGGATTCCGTGCCACCAGGGAAGTCCCCAGTTGCTTTCTTCTTCATTGCCACTATCCTCTACCTTAGTTTCCTAATTTATAAGATACAGTATTTGTGAGGTTTAAATGAATTAATATATAAAAAATGCTTAGAACGATGGCTCGGCAGCTAGTATGTGCTATGTGAGTATTAGCTATTATCATCATCCTTGTTACTGTCCCCTTCCTCCGCTTCTTCACGTTAGTCTACATAATCCACTCTCATCTCTGTCTCCAGTCTTAATCTTATTCTCCCCTACCTCCATTCTGTTCTCTACATTGTAGCCAGAGTGATCTTTATAAAATGCAAGAATGATCATGATCTAACTCCTCTGCTTAAAAAAGCTTCAGTGATCTTACCATTGGGCTTTTGTATGTGTGTATTGTTAACCCCGCTTAGAATGCTTTTTCCCTTGGTCTTTGAATGGCTGGTTCCTGTTTATTTAGATACCTACTTTTAAATGTCACCTCCTCAGAGAGGCTTTCCCCTGACCACCTAATGATTATAAAGTAACCACCCATATACATACTTTCTAGCATATCACCTATTTTAGTTCTTTGCATATCACTTATCAATAAGTGATATTTTTCTAGTTTAGTCACATACTTGTTTATAGTCTCCTCCAATTAGAACGGGAATTCTCTGAGAACAGGGATATTGTCTGTTTCATTTACTGTTATAAATAAAACATAGGACAATGCCTGGCATATTGTAAGCACTCAGTGAATACTTGTTAAGTGAATGATAAAACAGCTTCATATCTTATGAGACCCTTCTTGGTCTCTCCAGCATCATCTGTGCTGGTATTCTCTCTACCTTGACCTCCCCAGCTCATCTCATCTCTTCAGATATGCTTTCTTGCTGCAGGGCCTTTACATACTCTGTTTCTTCTGCCTAGAACATGCTTCCTTAAATGCTCTGCCACTGCTTGGGTACCTCCTGTTGATCCTTCAAGTTTCATCTTAGCTGTAACTTCACCTGATTAGCCTTCTTAAGCTTACAGCTCCGCGTGCATTGCCTTTAACTATCATACATGTTGGGATTATTTCATTGTCTTTCTCCTTCATTAAACTGTAAGTTCTATCAGACAAAGGCCTATGTGTTGCTCACCGTGTATTCTTAGTCCTAGCTGCTGTGGGATAGAAGGATCCCTTGAGGTGGAGGTGGTGGGCAGGAGGGATGGAATACTAGGGATATCACCTGAGGGCTAAGAAGGTGTGCCTTAGAATGTCAGGGGGAGGTCTAGACATTTGACCTGGCTCATTGTCATTCTCCTTATTCCACCTTTGATGATTCCAGTGTTTGCCTGGATGAACCAACTAACATACTTGGGATGAACCATCTAACATGCTTGTCTCTCTCCGGGACATCTTCATAGAGTAAGGGTAAGCCTGGCAGGGGACTTGGCCATGAAGGGGGCATGAGTGCCTAGGATCAAGGTTGAGGATCTGGATAGGCAGATTATTTGTTCCGAGTGGCTGATGGCAGAATAACTGAGTGGAGTGCAGTCCTAAGCAAGGAAGGAAGCAAAAGACTTTAGGGATAAGGTGAGGGAAAGATGAAACAGGAAGCTAAATCATTAGGTCAAAAACCTAGAGAACCAGGATAGTGGGTGGAGTGTAAGAAGGGACAGACAAGCAGTTCAGGATTTTAAGGCCATAAATAATCTTTGGGATTACTAAAATCATCTGTCAGCAGTCTTATTTCTTTAGTGTGGAACCAGCTTTTGGATTATAGGAACAATCAGGTAGTTGACATATAAGGGTTTGAGCTAAATTTTGTATTGCTTTGTATTTTATGTGCTATTTAAAGTCAAATCCCCAGAAATCCTACCTTACCTCCCCCAATAACCCAATTTAATTCCTGCTCTGAAGAGCCTCCCTTCCCTCCTTTTAAATATACTAGGTTCAACTTGCTCATATTTTTAAAAAGTCTCCTGTACAGAGGCCTGTAGCAGCCTTGGTGCTCCCTTCAGGTAGGCTGAGGATATTCCCTTCAGGTAGGGTAGGCACTCCTTCAGGTTGCCTCCTCCCACCAAACTAGGCATGGGAGCTAGCCTCAGAAGTTCAGGACTCCCTGCCTAACCTGAATTTGTGGAAATTCTCTCTGAATTTTGGGGAGGGACATGGGAGTGCAGAATATAGGTTGGGACTCTCTTGGTGAGGCATAGTAAGGAGTAGTAGAAGACTGGCTGGGTATGCATGGATGGTAGGATCTGAAGTTTCTGACCTGGAATTGTCCTAGAGTTTATGGCAGCATTAGGGGTCTCTGATGTGCCAAGCAGAGAATCTTGGTGAGTAGGGCCGGTCATTACCCCTTAGAGGTGTTCTGTATGTTTTTCTACTTAGCCTGGCGCTCTTCTACAGACTGACCAGTAGCTGGCATCATGGTGGACGCTGAAGGGGAATCATTGGGATAGAAACAGTACTTACTGAGGAGGAGTGTCATTCTCTTTTTGATGGTTGGATGGAGTGATTGTGTGCACATACTGGGCAGTCTAAGGCCCGGTAACCTGGCCTGTGTGAGGTGAAGCATCTGCACTCCCTTCCTAGTGCTCCGCTGGGGAAACCAACCTAAGGCAGCCGGAGATCATGGCCATTGTTAGTGATTTCCCCAGGAGTGCTCCCTGCCTTTGATTCCTCTGCTCTCTAATCCCCATGCTCTGATGTCCTGCCTTCTATTTTCTGCTTTGGGGGCCTTCAAATTTCATAATCCCTTCGGACTCCTTTTTCTAGTTTATTTCATGCCCAGCTTGACTCTTGGTTCTATGTAGTCCCCTAATTTCGACGTTGCCATTCACCCTTAAGTGAGGGCCTTCCTCCATTAGCCCTATTCCTGGAGCTATGGTTTTGAAGCTTTAATACATCAGAATTACCCATGGGGGCAAGTATTGAGGGGCTGGCTACTTATTTAAAATTCAGATTCCTGGTCTTTACTCCTGCTCTCCTGACTGAGTAGGTATGGGTGGTAACGGGGAACCTGCGTTTTGATTGGCCTCCAGGTGACTCTCACACCAGTCATCATCTGCAGACCATATTTGAAGAAACTCTGACTTACAGGACTGTGTTGGCCCCCTGCTCCCCTAGAGGGGAAGGAAAGGGTTTGTTTGTTTTTTAATAATTTATTTATTTTTGGCTGCGTTGGGTCTTCGTTGATGTGCACGGGCTTTCTCTAGTTGTGGCGAGTGGGGGCTACTCTTCGTTGCAGTGCACATGCTTATTGTGGTGGCTTCTCTTGTTGCGGAGCACGGGCTCTAGGCTCACGGGCTTCAGTAGTTGTGGCACATGGGCTCAGTGGTCGTGGCACAGGGGCTTCGTGGCTCCGCGGCATGTGGGATCTTCCTGGACCAGGGCTCGAACCCGTGTCTCCTGCATTGGCAGGTAGATTCTTTTTTTTTGTTTGTTTTGGTTTTTTTTTGCGGTATGCGGGCCTCTCACTGTTGTGGCCTCTCCCGTTGCAGAGCACAGGCTCCGGACGCGCAGGCTCAGCGGCTATGGCTCACGGGCCCAGCCGCTCCGCGGCATGTAGGATCTTCCCGGACCGGGGCACGAACCCGTGTCCCCTGCGTCGGCAGGTGGACTCTCAACCACTGCGCCACCAGGGAAGCCCAGCAGGCAGATTCTTAACCACTGCACCACCAGGGAAGCCCCAAGGAAAGGGTTTTGAACCCTTTACTTGGATCCTAAGGTCGCAGGAACCTTAATCTGTCACCTGTCTTCCAGTGAGGACAGTGGATAACTGTCCCTGTGTACTGACGCCTCATCTTCTCATTGCCATAGAAGGCAAAGATCCCAGATGAGGTAGAGGGCCTTCATGATTCCCCCTGGCAGGTCAGTACTTCTGGAGTATACTGTGGACTTTGACTTTGGACTCAGAAAGCAGGCTAGAACACAGTCTTTGAAGGCTGCCAATTGCACTTCAGATTTGCCTCTGGGATGCCTCTTTTTCTGTACACAGTGACCCTGCCCTAAAGTAGGCTGTTTTTTGGTCTCCAAGCTGTCGTCACTCCCTATTGCAGCTGTCCTCTAAACAACTTCCACTATCCTTCTGTAAAACAACCCAGCCTTGTCTCTCTCCTTTTCACATCCTCTCTTGTATTCCTGTTACCTGTACAATCAAGTCCAAATGTCTCAGGTTGGAATAAACAGTCTTGCACAATTTGACCCAAATTGTGGCCTACAAGGCCTAGCAAGATCTGGCCCCTGCCTGTATTTTAAGTCTCATTTCAAGCCCCTTTCCTCCTTGTCTCCTGCATGCACCCTCACCTGCTTGCAGTTCTTTCAGTTCTCTAGCTTCATGGATTTGGCCTAGAATACTCTCTACCCTGCTCTTCACTTCATTAATTATCACTTGCCTTTAAGTTTCAGTTGAGCATTATCTTGTTTTGGAGGTATTTTCTGGCCTCTCCATACAAAGCAACACCATGTTATTATCTTAGCATCTGTTTGTTTCCGTTAGACCACTTAATGCTTTTTACTGGTTTATCTTTCCCTCTTACTAGATTATAAGCTCCATGAGGGCAGGGGCCTTCTTGCTCACAGTTTTGTCTTCAGTGCCTAGTGAGTACATAGAGGTACTCGATAA